GGCTACCACCGAAACGCATCTGACCGGATCAAATACTTTTGAATTATGTTGAGTTAGGCTATTATTGATGGCACTGGTGCAGCTTTGCATCAGTGACCTGCTGAAAGGTCATCCGAGGTCACCCGTTGAACACACGACAATAATTTTCCTTTTTTGGCTGTATCTTTTGATCCAATAGAGAAAGAGACGTGGAACAGGCAACATTGTGTTTGATTTGGCCTAGCGCCAGTTCGCTTTGAATTTCGATATCGATCATCGTAGGTCAGAAAAATTTCTTGACCACTCCATCAAAAGTCAATCGGGCAAAATTCACCTCCCTTATCTTTTTACACTAAAACGCGTCGGAATTGCCTACGATACCATGAGTGGCTTCATATACGATCAAGTTTTACTACCTTGAGACTTGTTTTGCTCTTGAGCAGCTGTTAGGTCATGTGAGGTCACCAAAGGATTTTTTGCTAATAACTCCTTACAGGTTCTAGATACAGCCACGCGGATGGGCTCGTTGTGTTCAGCTCGTCAACACACTTCGAATGATATATATGATGACCTTGAGGTCAAGTGGCCTAAGGTCAACTTTGACCTTGACCTTTCGAGGTCAACATACTATGATTGATGCGGATCGACGAGAGGATCACGATGGTGCTATTATTTTGTTTCAAGCTGGGATACGTCGAAAGTTAGTCGTGAAAAACTTCATATATACGGGATGACCAGAAAAATTGGTTACTATTATTTCTTGCCGTAATCCCGAAAATAAACACCGCACATTATAAAACGGCACATGCTTGTATTCACAAAAGTATGGCAAAAACAGACAGCAGGTGCCAGATGGCATGTAAACCCTTTGGTTAGTCGCGGCAGCTCCTCAAAGCAGATACTCAATGTGAGCGGCCTTCCGGCGGATCAGCTCCGGCACTAGCACGGTCTGCAGGTGACTGATGGTCATGTTGACCATATCGGAGGGCAGGCAGACAACTTTCCAACGACGCATTACAGTGCTCATGAGTTTTGCCAAATCTTGCACTATAAGCACATGAAGTTGGGAAAAAAATCGGCACGTGCATGCACCTTAATTAACCTTCGCCCCAGTGGGGGGGGGGGGGGCATATGTTACCACCCTGTCGCGTTTTTTGCGTGTGAAGAAAAAACCGCGGCGCGTAGCGCCGCGCCGCTTCGGGTAGCTTTTGGTACATCAATTTTGGACAATGTGTGAAATTTTTGACCCCAGGTCATGTCAGGTCAGGTCACCAGGTCAAGTTAACTGACCAAGCCTCAAAACAAGTTTGCAATCATGTCCAGCTTGCAGTGTTTGTCAGGAAGGTTTTAAACTTGGTGGATTGCATGCTGTTATGGGCGCCTACAATTTGTGTATCTCGGATTTTTTTATATCCGTGACCTAAGGTCAGGTCAGTGGCGTGACCTTTCCATTACAAGTCAATGGAGAAATATGAAAATGCCTCTAGATACGTGTGTACGCATAGGAAAAGTCCAAATATTTCAGAATCACAATGATTTAGTCCACTCGTGATGACCAAGGTGTCATTTTTGCTGATAGCCTCTAGAAAGGTCATCCGAGGTCATTTGAGGCTACAAACAGTTTTTTGCCAATAACTCGCGATTGGAAAGAGATAGAACGCTGGGGATGGTCTCATTGTGTTTGTCTTGTTGAGACGCATCGACTATTATGCAACATGACCTTTTCCGGTCAGGTCATGACCTTGACCTGAGGTCAAATTTTCAAGTTGACCTTTCAAGGTCAAATTATAGTTCATTCGACGCGTCTCGGCGAGGGGAACATGATTCTGGCAATAGAAATGTCGTGGCTTTTTGAAGTCGAAAGTTATTGTCGAAAAACACTTTTCGTAAAAACGGCTATTTTTGGAGTTTTTGCCCTCTGGAGGCTAAACCGTTGACCTGAGGTCAATATTGATAATGGCCTTTTCAAAAGAAGAGTTCAAAAGCTATCGATTGCTCTCCCATGCGTTTTTTAACTACCTTAGTTCCTGAGATAGCGGCATGTTTTCTGAAAAATATAATGACAATTGGCAAATTTTGACCTTTGATGACCTCTGGTGACCCCAATATTGCTCTAAGATGAAAAATGACTGAAATACTTTCAAACGTACGCATTGAGAGCTATCGACTGCTTTTTACCGCGTCTTTCTAGCCCTCTTAGTTTTTGAGTTAGAGGTGGGTGGTAACATATGCCCCCCCCCCCCCCCCCACTAGGGCGAAGTTGGCTGAGACCGCCAATGGGGCGCGGGTTAATTTCCGTAGTCTCTTTTTTCTGGACACCCTGTATGTATGGAGTGCTGCTATTCTGACTTGTTTACCCCTGTGACATCATATTTGACCTGACCTGAAAATGACCTCAGTAAAAATTATATACCTTATCCGTGTGTACCCTGTACCGTTTAGCACTTGTCGCTATCTTGCTTTGCTCTCGAGATCTCGCTGTCGCTCCCGCTCGTAATAATGGGCAGGTCATAAAAATGACCTGACCTGAGGTCAACGCAGGCCGAAAGCCACTTTTTATTATCGCAAATAAATGGCAATTGATAAGGCTTTAATCGTCATCAGCCACAATTGCAACTTTCAGTGGGGAAAATGTCAAGGTCACTCTTCGAAAAATAGGTCAAGAGGTCACGTGATCAGTATTTAAAAAAAAAATCCAAGATAGCCAAAATGTTTGTTGGTTGATTGCAAGTTGAATCATGAAGTTTTTATCATAGAAAACCAATAGTTTCTGAGTTATAAGCCGCCAAACATAGGGTTGCAGCGTGACCTCCAGGAATTGCCCGAGGCTATATCTCGGAAACCGTTGTTTGAAGAACAAAATCCTTGCCACAGGTGGCTTCCCCGCCCATCACAACACCTAAGCCCAGTTTTAAACAAAAATAAAATATGTGTGTGTCAATTTATTTTATTTTATTTTATTTTATTTTATTTTATTTTATTTTATTTTATTTTATTTTATTTTATTTTTTTACTTTTTTTGGTCGATCTATTGTGGAATGCCCCAGGAGTTAGTTGTCACGAGAGGGACGCTGGTGCCAACTGTGGCGAACTGCATGCGGGGTGCAACCACATGCCAACGGATCGTACTTCCCGGCACCTGCAGCGGGTCACGGTCGGGACGGCACAGATCAGCTGAAACCAGACCGGCGCCGCCACATCACCACCAGGCGCTCCATCGGCCGCACCGCGCCACCCCGGGTCAGCACCACAGCCCACGCCCCACTCTCCGGACACCCCTTATCGACTTGAAACTCACACACCGCAGAACCCTTGGGTAGATAATGTGGGCCCAAATCATTCGGCGGCACTCCTAGCCGTCATCGTGTGGCTTGTAAAGGTACAAATAATACAAGGAAAGCAGCTCCTAGGTGGTGGAGAGTGGTTCGGTACCATTCCAGTGCTCTAGTCGCTAGCTCCACCATGTGGACCACAGCCTGCTGTGCACCTATGGAGACCGTGACCTATGTTCACCTGAACCTCTGGGTCAAACGACTAGCAGGGCCGCCGGCTGGAGCTCTGGGAACCAGCCGACTCGGAGACGGAGCTGGAGGCTGATTCGAGGCCAAACTGGGACTGGCGCCTATAATACGTCGATTTTTTTTTTTTTTTAACCCGCGCCCGGCTGGGGGTCCTGGATTTCCACGCCCTGCTGGGGGGGGGGGTGTTTGAACACCCCCCCCCCTTGTAACTCGGCTCCTGGGCCACGTAGCGATACGCGGAAGGCGGCGTTCGAAAGACCGTCAAAAATAATGACGAAATCACTTCGGTCAATTTTTTGGTCAGGTCAAAGGTCAGGTCACCAGAGGTCATTGAAGGCAAAATTTCGCCGATTTCCAGGTCGAATGTCGAAAATTTCCAAGAAGCCAACGCATAACTCGGGAACCAATAGAGCTACAGCGCCGCGGAAAAGCGCATTCGATAGCCCTATTAACGCCCTTTCTGAGTAATTCTCTCAGATTTGACCTAACGTCAACGGTTTTGCCTGCAGGGGGCAAAAACTGCAAAAATAGCTGATTTTTTCGGAAACAGTTTTTCTGCAATAACTTTTGACTCAAGCCTTGTACGAGCTTACTTTTACCGGCATCGTGTTCCTCTCGTCAAGACGCATCGAATGAACTATAACTTGACCTTAAAAGGTCAACTTGAAAATTTGACCTCAGGTCAAGGTCATGACCTGACCGGAAAGGGTCATGTTGCATATCAGTCGATCCGTATCGTCGAGCTGAACACATCTAAGGCGTTTTCATCGCTCTAGCATGCCTCTATCAAAAGTTATTTGCGAAAAACTGTTAGATACCATTCGTGACCTAAGATGACCTCAGGGCATAAACAAGGGTCACAGACAACATTTTCATGTTCTGTGTGTCTAAACCACTTGTAATTCGGTGTTTGGGAGTGTTTATAATGTCTTTCGTCCAGAAGAGGCGCATTTCAATTTTCTCCCATTGACTTATAATGGGGAGGTCGCAAAATTGACCTGACCTTAGGTCATCGATATCAAAATTCTGAGATATACATTTTGTACATGCTATTACCCTTAGCAATCGCTGAAAGTTTCAAAGCGATCGGTCACTCGGTGTAGCTATGACAGACATTGAAACTTTTTATGAGGTGAGGTCACTTCAAGTGACCTGGTGACCTGACCTTGAATGACCTTGGTCTGAAATTTTCACATGTGTATAATTGATGTATGATAAGGTGTACCAAAAACGGCGGCGCTCCGCGCCGCCATTTTTGAGATATTCGCGAAAAACCACAAGGGGGGGTGTTCAAACACCCCCCCCCCCAGCAGGGCGCGGGTTAAGAAGGAGCTGCATTCCACACAGAACTGGCGCGAGTCCGAGTACTAGGCACAAGGCAGGCTCACAACAGCGTGACTCGCCTACGATAGCCGATGGAAATATACAGATTATAAGCGAGACCCGGGGACGCCTGGCAAAGGCCGCGATTGCCGGTCGCCTGCTGCGGCCGAGACTCACCAGGGTGACGTGTTTGTGCGCTGACGACGACTTGGCGCTGTCCTCCCTGAGGTTACTCGTCGACCGGAACGACCGCGACTTTTGCACCATTCGCCCTATGGCGGTCCGCAGCCTGACGGGCAGACGCCGCACAGAGTCAGCGCAGCACGAGCACAGAGTCAGCGCAGCACGCCTCGCACCGAGTCAGCGCAGCACGCCTCGCACCGAGTCAGCGCAGCACGCCTCGCACCGAGTCAGCGCAGCACGCGCACCGCGGTCCAGACACCGCGGTCCCCAGAAGTCCCTCCACCGGATGCCCGGGCCGCAGGTCAGAGTATCTCTCGGCCCGCGTGTCCCCACCGAACTCCCTTCATTTCTCAGCGTACCTACAGACATTCTCAGTACAGACCTCCCCTCCCCCGGTCAGTCTGCAGTTCTAGGGCCCCGTACCGATATAGGTGAACTGAGTAGTTGGACGAGTCTCGGCTGCACGGCTCACCTTCCGTCGCTGGAGCCGGTGACGGTGGCATAGTTCCCAGCCGACACAGTGTTCGGCGGACTGGCCGACTTCAGCGAGAACGAGCCCGTCTTCTTCAGAATGGGCTTCAGCGGCCAGCGCCGGGAGCCGCCGGACGTTCCTGTCCGCTCCTGTGAGAGGGAGAGAGAGCAGAGCGGCGGCTGAGACAGAGCCGAGCCGGCCGGCCGGGGCTGAGCGCGCGGACACACCACACACCAGGCACCGTACCTATATACACGGCGCATTGGTATGCCACCCTGGCCGATCGCCGTGAGGTAACAAACAATGACTGAATAGCGCGATTGTTTCTAAGTCAGCTGGAGGCGATGCATGTGCAGGTGCACCGCATCTGAGTGGGCGAGACGGGTCGGTGGTGAACTCACGTCCTCCGAGTCGTCAGTATCCACCGTGAAGCGGGCCCTGTCGTCGGCGGCCAGCAGCGGGTCCTGCTCCAGCTCGGCGCCGTGCCGGTCGGCCGGCCGCGCCACCGGCGGCGACTCGGCCGACTCGGGCCTCGCCAGTGGCGCCCGCCGCCCGCTCTCGCCGGCCGGCTCTGCCAGCAGCTGCAGGGCGGCCGGAGCCGCCGCCGGAGCCGCCGCCGGAGCCGCCGCCGGAGCCGCCGCCGCTCCGCCGGCCTCCTCACTAGGCACCGGCGTCACGGCGAACCGCGACGGCCGCCGCTCCAGCCGCTCCGGCGCCGGCGGCGACACGTCGCCAAAGTCGGCAGCGCTCTCAATGTGCGCCACGCGTGCCCCCGACACGCCCACCACGTCGTCCTCGTCGTCGATTCGGCGCCGCTCGCGCTCGTCATCGGGTAGTTCTGGCGCCAGCTGTGCCGAGAGGGTGGCGCGCCGCTCCTCGCGCGCTGCGTCCACCTGCTCACCCTTGGCCAGCTGCACCAGCGCCTTCCAGTTGTGGTTGTGCTTGGCCAGCTGAATCCTGCGGGCAGGAAAGACGGACCGGTCAGCCCAACACCGTATCCGGAGCTCCTCACCAGAACAAAGCCCAGTACTAAGTCCCGACACTTCCCAGCCAGTGAGTACGTCACTTTCCAGCCAGTGAGTACCCAGAAGTGGGCTCCGATACTTCCCAGCCAGTGCCGGCACCCAGAGCTGGGTCCCAACGCTTCCCAGCCAGTGCCGGCACCCAGAACTGGGTCCCAACGCTTCCCAGCCAGTGCAGTGGGCACCCAGAACTGGGTCCCAACGCTTCCCAGCCAGTGAGGTCCCAGTATCAGTCCCAGTGCCGTCCCTCTCTGATCCTCCAGTGCGTGCAGAATACAAAGCCCTGCACCAGGCCTGCCTTCCTGTTCGGGCAGTACCGAGCACAACCTCCTGCGGGGTCCTGAAACTCCTAACCAGTGAGTACCAACTGCACCTACATATAAGCCTCGGCTCTGTCTGAACAGCAAGTACAGGTGTCAAGGGCCCCCACATCAGCCATAGGGTGTTGCTCAGTGACAGAGACAGGTGCTGTCTCTGTCACCTGCTGTGACGGGGAGCGGTACGCACCTCTGGGCGGCCCGCTGCCATCTGGCCACCACCTCCATCCTGCGGTCCCGGCCCAGGTGCGTCTCCAGCTGCACCACCAGCTGCTTCCGCCGCACGCTGCCCAGCAGGACCATCGACTCTGACCGACAGAGCCGAGCACCGCAGTCAGCGCCGGCCGCCCAGACCAGCTCACACACTAGCCTAGGTGCAGATCCGAAAAGGCGGCCTCGGGAGCTGCGGGGGACAACCCTAAAAACGGCTTCAAACTTTCAAAAACTCCTCACATTTCGATTCCTGTTACATTGTTATGCAGTTCAAAGCAAACCGTTCCCAATAAAAGTTGCTTACATTTCTTCCTTTACTGGAAAATGACAAATTTTCGTCGATTTCGGGCCTTGCGAGGGAAAGCACCTTCGCCAAACTTGCGTCAAAGCCCCCCGCCCTTGGTTCCGCTAGTGTGCCCTCATCTGTGCACGCTTCACGTCATTGCCAGTTGTCAACGAGTTCGCCATATGCGACATCACGTGTGGTAAAAGAGACAGGGGTTTCTCATGCCACCGCACCCTACACACGTTTTGCAACTGAAAACACATCACATGAGCTAGTTAACGCAATGGGCCGGGCCGTCACACCGGTGTTGTCACTGACGGTCGGACGGCCGCGTGCTGCCGTCGTGCTGCCAGTGGGAGCTGCAGGACACCGGTACCGTGCCCTCAGTGAGCGGCAGCGCAGCCTCCCAGGCCGGCCCTCTCTGCTCACCAGGCGAGTCGACCAGCGGCACGCTGGAGAGCTTCTTGTTCTCGCGCAGAATGTCGCGCACTTGTCGATAGGTGATGCCGTGCCAGATGTACTTCACCTCCCGTACCATGAAGTCCTCCACGTACACGGAGTACGCGTCTGCGGTACAGGGCCGCAGGGTCAGTGTTCGGCTGGTGCGCAAATTAACACATCTCATCCGATTTATAAATGTGCGAAATCCTGACAAGATGAAGCGGAGTGGAAAAGAGAGAGAGAGAGAGAGAGAGAGAGAGAGAGAGAGAGAGAGAGAGAGAGAGAGAGAGAGAGAGAGACAGAGAGACAGAGAGACAGAGAGACAGAGAGACAGAGAGACAGAGAGACAGAGAGACAGAGAGACAGAGAGACAGAGAGACAGAGAGACAGAGAGACAGAGAGAGAGAGACAGAGAGACAGAGAGACAGAGAGACAGAGAGACAGAGAGACAGAGAGACAGAGAGACAGAGAGACAGAGAGACAGAGAGAGAGAGAGAGAGAGAGAGAGAGAGAGAGAGAGAGAGAGAGAGAGAGAGAGAGAGAGAGAGAGAGAGAGAGAGAGAGAGAGAGAGAGAGAGAGAGAGAGAGAGAGAGAGAGAGAGAGAGAGAGAGAGAGAGAGAGAGTCGGCCACTAACGTGTCGAGGTGACGATGTCCGGCAGGTAGGGCAGCTTCTTGATCTGAATGATGCTGTCGTAGATGGAAGGCTGCAGCAGCTGTGAGACGGCGTTGGAGATCAGCACGGCGATCTGTGGGAGAGTTGGCCCGTGAGGCTCCTCATATCGGAACGGCTCGGCTCAATCTGCACTGTTTGTTCACCGTAAAATGCTTACACCAAAACCCAGTAAATCATTCCTATACACCCAAGGAAGCAGATCCTCTTCCGTAAATACAATTTATATCAGCAACCATGTTTGGGTTTTGAGGGGCAGCTGGGAGCCGGCGAGCAGCTCCCGCCGCTCGCCGCTGCGGCCGCCGGAGCCGGCGGCGCTAACCATGACGGGCAGGATGTGCGTGATCTGGCCGGTCAGCTCGAACACGATGACGGACGTGGAGATGGTGTTGGTGACGGAGCCGGCCAGAGCCGCCGCGCCCACGATGGCGTAGCCACCTGCATGGGCACACACTCGGCGTCAGCGTCAGCGCACTCGGACAGCGCACCCACCGAGTAGCGCCAGCACACCGCCACACGCGGCAGGCTACTAGCTCAACAACAGCCGCCCGACTAGCGACCGCAAACTATCACTGCGCTGGCCCACTCCAGCTCATACTGATCACCTCTCCCTTACTCTACTCTTTATACATCGCTGACCCTGCCTTTCTCCATCACATTTACGTTCCGCTCCACAATGCTACCCCAGTTCACTGACCTGGCAGGATGGGCGATATGTGGTGGCCGTAGCGGAAGCCGCGCGGGAACAGGTTGGCCATACACTCGCCGACTAGCCGGCCAAAGGCGGCGCCCATCTTGAACACGGGGATGAAGGTGCCGGCCGGCACCGGCAGCGTGGACGCCACCACGGCCGTGCACATCTGACCAGCGGTCAAGGCCACGAGACGCGTCATAAATCAGTATAACTCGGAAACTACGCTCAGAACGACGTCCAAGGACGAGGAAAAAATAACACATGAACACTGGGCAGTGTCAGATCCAAAAGGCTGGTGAACAATGGCAATGCACACCGCGCAGTATGATTTTTGTTGGCAAATGCAGTAAGCAGTACGTAGATATATGTATAGCAAACTATGTAGGTAAGCACTACGAAGTGAAGTAATTAAACACTGAGAGACATGAAAGACAGGTGAAAAGGTGTATCTCAGAGATTCCACGCCTCGCGGACGGTATGTAGGATGGGTGGGACCAAAAATATCCTTGGATCAAATAGCATCACGCGCCAGGGCCTCGTCTAAGGAATTTTCACGGGGGGGGGGGGCAGAGACTGAAGGAGCCAAACCTAGGGTACCCCCAAATCCTGTTTTCTCACCGGATTTAGACCACTTATTTTTCATCACAGCCCTGACACCATGAATATTTTTTTGAAAACTAAAAAAAAAATAGTAGGCCATCCGACCCATGCTTGTATATTAGTTTATAGCCTCCTCACATTGCCTCATCAGACAATAATAATCACACTTCTCGTTGTTGAGCGTGTGTTTGAGTGGCAGTGCCGTCAGCCGTGTCTAAGGAATTTGCATGCCGAGCCTTATGTCGAGGGCCCATACACATTTTTTTTAGAACCACATCGGTTTCTGATGGGTCCCTCTGAGCGCTCGATGCCGATCTCTGAGGGCTAATGTCAGCTTCTGGACCTACGTCGGCCTCTATGGTAGCCCACACTGGTTTTATATGATCCATACCAGGCTTTAAGGGTCAATCTGAGTGGAGACCGTATTTTCCCACTAGGGCCCCCTCAGACCAGTGTAATGCCTGTGTATCAACATGGAGACTGATGTCTTCTCAGGTGGATTCTCCGTAATCGCCGTGGATCTTCGACACAACCTTAAAGGGACCCTCCCACCTTCAAAAAACTTTATGAATTGGCATGAAAGTGATGTCGCCCGGTTCAGAAAGAGCAAAAACGAATATCTACCAAATTTCATCGAAAAATATTCACCGGTTTTCAAGATATTAGACTTTTACTTTTGTTTACTTTTTGGGATCTCCGCTGTTCCTAGTGACTTTATTTGAAAGTGCGGCATTTGTTGCTCGCAAAGCAGCATATACCACCGCGTGCTACAAAAGGTTTTAGTCAAACATTTAAAAATCGTTAGATATCTGCGATGACGTCACACATTCAGAGGGGTATTCCTATGCATTAGCCCTCTGAATCAAAATGCTGCAATTTTGAAATTCAATATTTCCGATTTAAGGCATTTCTCAATGTTGTGAGTGCCGAAACCGGTAATTGTGAGATAGGGACCCCATTTTGGCTATCTCAACTCAAATCTAATGTTAAGGTGGGAGGGTCCCTTTAAGGTCGTCACTCGTCAGAGGCTATAAACTAAACAAAAATGAAGATAGTAGTGCTTTGAGGCCAGTTGGGAGTTGGGACACGAAGTGGCTGGCATTTGCCCTCCAGGACTCCATGCCGACTTCTTAAGATAATCCAGCTGTCAGAGTTCCCGTCCCCACAGACAGACCACCAATCTGGCATCTGCGCCTACGTACGACCACTCAGAACGGGAGCCTGCTTCATTACGATTAGGAGCTACTCTAGCCGCACACCGGTGACCGTCCAGCCAGAAGTTGGACGCCGGTAGCGAGGACGACGATAGGCAAAAAGAAGAGATTGACGCCCCGAGGGGCGAGGACAGAAACAACAGATTGATACCTAAAGGAGAAATTTTTGCCGGTAGAGCCTTGGACTCCGCGTGGTGAGGGCACGCGTCCCGGTTATAACAGTCCAGGTTCGAAGCGCGGCATCGCACGATCTTTATGAGCCTCCTGGCGAGTATGGTTACGGTTGGTGGCACGCCGTAGCCATTCGAAGTCAGTGAGGGTACCGGCCGTGCGCGGTTATGTGCATACGTTAAACTTTGGGCTCTAAATTCTGTCATAGATCACGAATTGCGCGATCGGAGGGTAGAGGGCAGGGCCAACGCAAAGCTCTGCTTGGCGGGGGCTCTGTACTTGTGAATCCTTCCGTTCAAAAGGGTCGGACAAAATTAATGAAAAAAGAATATCCGAGACACGGAGTTGGTCGCCTGAAAAGACGAAATGTAACGTATTGCTGAGCGAAAAAGGTTCAGGTAAACAAAATAAACACATAACAGCCCTAGGTAATGGGGTATTTCAATGTGGTCACATTGCATCGTTTCGTTTACGCATTTGTTTTTATGTGCACTGACGCCGCGAAATGAAAATTCGTTTGCCTTTTGACTATTGCCGGCCCCCCCAGTAGGGACTTTTTGCCCTGACTGGGGGGGCCAGGTCGATGACTGCGGGGGTTTGGCCCCCCCCCCCAGTTAACATGTTAGACGAGGCCTTGTCACACGCCCCATTCTGCCCAGCTGTAGTCGCAAAATATCTAATAAACACATTAATTTAGCAACGTACAACTTAAGCCCGGTTCTGACTGCCGTTTTTCGATCGTTTGGTGGATCGTATGATGATCGTATCGTGATCGTATGGTGATGGGATGGGGATCGGCACGCCCCTTTCCCGATCGCCGCGATGGTAATCGTATGTGTGCAGTGAGAACCGGGAAAAAACGTGACTGTGCGCGTGGTTCGGTAGCGGCAGATCGTACGTCGTAGTGCGTTCCGTCGAAAGATGGATTGAGTTTATCTTTTGTCTTGATCGTATCGTACAGTTGACATCGTGTGGGGAACTCGCTGTGCTGCAGCTTTCCTTGCTGCTGTCTTGTGGAAGGTTTGTGCTAACATATTTGATATTACTTATCTTATTAGTAGCATACTTTAAATAAATCACGGTGACTATAAATAAATAAGCTTGATTGACATACTTATAATCAAATTAGGTACTTCCACTTAGAAGATACCATACGAAAAATCATTGATTCGTTCAGGTGCGTCAATTACATCAAAGTATTAATTTTATTGCACGAAAAAGCCTTACCCGATAATGTTAATTTGATACTTAAATTAAGAAATGTTTTAACTACATTTAACCTCTTTTTAAGTCTGAAAAGTATTAATTTCCCTCTTTATAGATCTCGTCCCGTTCATGGCGGCCAATCAACGCGCTTCCCTCAGATGACGTCATCTGTGCGCCTGCGCTCTGCCGAGCCGGCAAGCCTCGTGGTGACCGGCGATTTACCGGCGACACTGGAGGTGTACATAGATATCTTACCAATGAATTTCTGTCAATTGCAACGAACCGATTTTCAAGAAAACCGATGCACAGCATTCACAATACTCACTTTTAGGTTGTAGGTTACTTTCCAGGACAATTTGACATGATTTTCTATTTTTCCACGCATTTTCAAAATTGCGTACCCTCCACGGCCGAGAATGGTTTCCGCCGCCATGCTGCTCCAATCAAGCCGAAATGTTGATTAACTTCACGGAATAGTCAGAGCCGACTACTCAAACTAAATTATTGAATTAGAGAGATGTTTTAAACTACATTTAACGTCTCTTCAAGCGTAAAAAGTATTTATTTCGTTCTTATCTATCACCGCCGGCAGTAATGGCGGACGCAGACTCCCACACGATACGCACGATCCGCACGATACGATCTACCAGTTACCAGATCGTATCGGGCCTAGAGATTTTCATCTTTTTCCGCCAGCCACGCTCACCATACGATCACCATACGCTTACCATCCGCTCCGATCGATTTCGGCAGTCAGAACCGGGCTTAACTGATCTGATCCGATATTAATTTCGCAAGCCTATAACTAGTAATTTAAACAGCGTTCGTCAATAATATCTTTAGCTCTTTACGTAAACCCGCAAAATTCAAAGGTGTCAAACACCAAGCGACTGTTTGGCTTTCAAATGGCAACTTTATTTTGTATTTTGAATTTTGATCATTTTTATGATACAAACTTTTTTTTAAGTTAACCCTCGCCCTGGCAAGGGGGTTGATGCAACCCCCCTAAGGTTTTTCAAAGATAACGTAAAAACGGCGGCGCGCAGCGCCGCCAAATTTTGCACAGTCTATGGGACAGCCTTTTTACATACGACCTGAAAATTTCAGGTCCGGGTGACCTTGGGTCAGGTCACCAGGTCAGAACAGCCGGTACAAGGTCATTGTCAAATTTTATTTTTCTTTATGCACCTGTCCAACTCACAGTTTTGGACTGATTTCCTGCAAGAATTGCTAAAAATTGAGTTTGAAATTTTGACGTCATCAATTTTGAACAGATTTTTTTTGCCATAACTTGGCCAGAAAAAGAGGTATCGATCTCAAATTTGGTATGTGGATAGAAGGTGGTGGGTACTATCACATGAATTTCGTTTTTTTCGAAATTCAAAAAACTTTTTAGATTTTTCGGCTATTTTCTTAAAAAAAAAAATATTTTTTGACTTTTTGGGGTCAAAATCCAAAAATGTCAAAAATCCGAGATAGCAGCTTTGTAGTTCCATTGATTCTACACGTTTTATGTTTAGGACATTTTTCTGCATCTGTAACGCTGTAGCCCTTATAGTTCTTCCCGCGATACCTTTTTTTTGTCGAAAATGTCAGAAATGTCGTCACTCCGACGTCATAAGCGGCCACCCTATCATAGCCTTTGGGAATTTTTTTATCACAATGTGCAAAAGCTATTCACGGGAGGGTACTGAAAGTTTGGTGACGGTCGGCGCAGAGGTTCTGGAGATATGTCGAAAAAACTAAATGGGGGCAAAAAATGCCCCCCCCCCCACCGCCTGGAAGGTTAAAATTGTGTATCAATCTCTGCGTCTCGTAACGGCGCACACGCTCGTTTTTCGCGACGCGCTAGCTCCACCAGGGGCGAAACGGCGAGGGGGGTCGTACCCGCCCCCCCCTCGGCCGGCGCGTACGTAGAAAACCAATAGGTCCGGCGAGGGTTAACTTGACCTGGTGACCTGACCTGACATGACCTGGGGTAAAAAATTTCACATTGTCCAAAATTGATGCACAGAAAGTGACCCAAAGCGGCGCGGCGATACGCGCCGCGGTTTTTATTCACACACAAAAACGCGACAGGGTGGTAACATAGCCCCCCCCCCCCCACTAGGGCGAAGGCTAATATAACGTTTGCCATTGTAAGCCAGTACCCAGTGGCGCGGGAACTTATTCCACACTTGGGGGGGGAGGGGGCTGAACCATAAACCTAGGGTACCCCCAAATCTAGTTTTCTCACCGGTTTATGCCACTTATTTTTCAGACCTTAGCCTTTTCAACAAAAAAAAAAAACGAAAATATTTGCAAAAAAGTCAGGTATTCCGTCTCAGCTGAGCTGAATGAACTACCGTTTTGGCAACCTGGAGTAAAGGTTTTAATCTGCCAAATGAGTTGCCGAGCCAGTGAAAGACGTGCATGTTTCACTTACATGCTTTCTTCCTTTGTGACCCACAACCCCTAATTTGGGGAGGACAAGCTGCCCCAACGGTTCCTGACCTCATGAAAAGTTGTGGGGCACCGCCCCCACGGCCCCAGAGCTGTGGGGGCTAGCTTCCCCCACTGCCCCCTTCCCCCTGGTTCCCGCGCCTATGTATGAATCTATGTAATTATGTTGGTAGATTTCCGATTTCGATTACTCCAGCAGGGGGGGGGGGCTCAAATACATTACGAGCCCCCCAGCCGAAAAGTTGGAGGGGCTCAGCCCCCGCTAGCCCCCCCCCCCCGGTTCGCCCGCCACTGCGGCGGTACCTACATATTTGACTGTGTGACTGCGTGTGTCATCGCATTTCTGGGTCCTACGTTGTGTGTCGTTGGGTGTGGATGGGTGTGTCGTTGTGTGCGTGTAGTTGTGTGTCATTATGTGTCGCTGTGTATCGCTGTGCGTCGCTGTGTGACGTTTCCTTGGTCTTACGTTGTGTCTAGTTGTGTGTGTCGTTGTGTGTTGTTGTGTGTCGTTAGGTGTGTTGTTAGGTGTGTTGCTGGGTCTTTCGCTGTGTGTTGTTGTGTTTCTTTGTGTTACGTTGTGTGTCGTATTGTATCGTTAGGTGTTTCATTGGGTATGTCGTTGTGTGTTATTGTGTGTCGCTGTGTGTCGTGTTCTTGGTGTCAGGCTGTGTGTCGTTGTGTTTCAGTGAGTGTCGTTGGTAGGACATACCGTGACGCCGATGTAGATGCAGAGGTTGATGTAGAAGTTGGTGTAGGGGTTGGTCCAGTGGGCCACCACCTCTGCCTGATCGATCTCCAGATTATCCGACGACCAGGTAAAGTTAGAAAATAGGTCCAGCACCTGCTCGAACAGCAAACACATACACTCGGAAAATGGAACGAGATTAAAGGAACATGATTAATTTTCCAACCGATAATTTGCCTGTAAAACGGTTCAGCACGTATTTATATGATAAAAATTCATGCCACATAAAGTCGAAACCAGGAAGCATCTTAGCGAAAAAAGGCACCAGAATTTCTAGCATGCATAATGCTGACTTACAAAGGAAATCGTATCATGACCACGTATCTTGCAAACAGGACGGCAGTAATTGTTGTTATACTCTGTTCCGTTTCAAGCTTGCAGCCGAAGTGCCCTGCTGAAAGCAGTGCGTGATTTCTGCATATACAGCTCTTACATTTTAAGACGCAAATTCTTGAGCGGAGGAGCGATCTGCCGAAGAAACTCCGATGCAAGCTTGATATGGAACAGACTATTATAGTATTTGAGCTGCTGTCTTGGACACGCACGAACCTGATCGTGGGTGGTCTGATCGGCGGCCAGGAACTGCCCCACTCCGAGCGGGAACGTCACCGACGACACCATCAGCGCCACGAAAAACGGGTACAGAAACCGACTGAGAACGGGGGCAGAAACCGACTGAGAACGGGTACAGAAACCGACTGAGAACGGGCGCACAAACCGACTGAGAACGGGGGCAGAAACCGACTGAGAACGGGTACAGAAACCGACTGAGAACGGGCGCACAAACCGACTGAGAACGGGGGCAGAAACCGACTGAGAACGGGCGCACAAACCGACTGAGAACGGGGGCAGAAACCGACTGAGAACGGGGGCAGAAACCGACTGAGAACGGGGACACAAACCGACTGAGAACAGGGGCAGAAACCGACTGAGAACGGGGACAGAGAACGGTTACGGAGCGAGTTGTAAGGGAGGTTATAAAGGATACTCGGTCAGACCAATTGGTATCACTGATGCCTGACGCCCTCAGTAAAACAACCATCGGCGGAACAGCCGCACGTCATTAACAAATACACGTACAGGTCGGCGAGCAGTGTACATAAACACGTCGTTATGATATCGGAGTCGACAGTGGACTATGACATGTGCGCTAATTAAAAGAGAATTGGAGCTGAAATCTTCAAATAAACAGACGAAACCAGGCAAGACAAAACGAGACATAACAGAGCAGTGAGGAAGGGAGGAAGGAAAAACTGTTTTAGCATCGGTATTAACCCGCGACCAGTTGGGGGAGGGGCCAAAAGGCCCACTCCCTGTGGTTTTTCGCCGATTACTTAGAAACGGCTGCGTATTTCGACTTGAAACTTCCAGTACCTCTCCGGACATCAAATTTACACAACTCCTGAAAAAATGGGTTCCAGGTCATCCCAGGTCACGAGCTATAGACGTCAAACTGAGGTCATGTTCGGCGATTTTTCGTCGAAAAAGTTGTTCACGGAGAAAAATCGCAGAAAATCAGGGTTTCAACTTAGCGACTCAAAACTGGATCGTAGGTGTAAAAAAGCATTGCAAACAAAATGCCAATCTCTAAATTTCCAAAAATATAAAAATCCCCAGACTAGGGATTTTCTAACTCAAAATTTAGATTTCTTGAGATATTTTTGAAATTAAGGGAAATTTTCAAAAACCGGAATATATGTTAGAGAACCCCTTATTGGCCTTACATATGCCAAAAATTAACCAAATATATCTAAAACTGACTGAGATATAGCCATTTGAATGACTGATAAAGTAGCGATTGTTCTTATGACGTCAAAATATTTTCGGTATTTGTGCTTAAGTAATATTTATGATTCTTATCAACCTCTTGCTGACTCAATATGATGCTTTACGTGAGTAAAGTCACTTTTAGGGAAAAATTGTTTTTCGTTGTAAACCGGTAAACTTTGACCTAATTTGACCTTCCTGTGACGTCAAAGGTTCAATAAAAATGGTCAAGGAGGTTTTGTGGTTGCATATACATGACATGTCTTCATGAAGACTCAAATATTCACAATTAACCCGCGCACCGACGGGGGTCTGCGCCAACTTCGCACCGACGGGGGAGGGGGCGGATGACCGCCCCCCCTGAGATCTCGAGAACGAAGCAGGATAGCGACAAGCGGTAAATGGCATCGGATACGCACGGTCAAGATCTACAATTTTTACAAAGGTCATTTTCAGGTCAGATCAAAGATGACGTCACAGGGGTCGAAAAAAATTCAAAATGGCGGCGCTAGATATGGAGTTTTTCTCGAATAACTTTCGAATTAGTCAAGATAGGAGCAAACTAAGGGCATCATCGTGATCCTCTCGTCAATCCGCATCGAATAATATATATGTTGACCTCGAAAGGTCAAGGTCAAAGGTTGACCTCAGGTCACGTGACCTCGAGGTCATCATGTATATCATTCGATGCGTCTTGACGAGCTGAACACAATGAGACCATCCACGCGGCTGTATCTTGTTCCTGTACGGAGTTATTGGCCAAAAACCTTTGGTGACCTTTGATGACGTCACATGACCTCACAGCTGCCCAACAGCAAAACAAACCTCAAGGTAGTGAAGGTTGATCGTATATGAAGTCATGTATGGTATATGGGGCCATTCCGACCCGTTTTAGTGGTAAAAATAGGGAGTTGATTTTTCCCCCATTGACTTATAATGTGGAGGTCGCGAAATTGACCTGACCTTAGGTCACCGATATCAAAATTCCGAGATATTCAAATTGTAGCTACTAATGACCTTATAACATCCTGCGACTTTCAAAGGCCTCCCACATCTACTGTAGCTCTGGCACGGTGACAAAGTTGCAAAAAAGTGACTTGAGGTTGGGTCATTCAAAGTGACCTGGTGACCTGACCTTAAAAGGTAGGAGGTTCAAACTTGCACACCATGTGTAAAATTGATGAGGGAATAGTCGTACCAAATTTCGCGGCGCGGTTTTCCCGCTATTTGCGAAAAACCTCAGGGGGGGGGGGGCGGATATCCGCCCCCCGTCGGTGCGCGGGTTAAAGGGACTGTCCAACCTTTGCATTAGTTCTGAGTTGAGATAGCCAAGTTGGCGGCCAGGTTCAGAAACCACTATATATCCTGGTCGCAATATCCTCAGTTTCGTGGTGTTAAAGAAATTCGTTCCCTTCATTTGAAAAGTGGGCCTTAGCTAAGGCCCTATCTCTTAACTATTAACGGCCATTTGATGACGTCATTTGCATTTTGAACGCGTCACCAGGGATGCGGAGCCGTGGAAATTTCAGACGGCTCCGGCTCCGGCTCCGGCTCCGGATAAAAAATCGGCTCCGGCTCCAGCTCCGGCTCCGGGTGAAATGTCATGGCGGCTCCGGCTCCGGCTCCGGCTCCGAGTAAAATGGTCCGGCTCCGGCGGCTCCGGCTCCGGCTCCGGCTCCGGCTCTAGCCCTCGCCGGCCGAGGGGGGAGGGGTGGGTGCCGCCCCCATAGGTTTTTTTCGCGTTAGCTCCGAACACGCTGGCGATAGAGAGCTGAAACTTCGCATACCTGACCTTTGATTCAAGCCAGATCTTTTGACACCAACCGCATTTTTGGGTCAGGTCAGGTCACTGACCTATGACGTCATAAGTGAACCTCTGCACGGTCTTCAGATGTCGCAACTTCGCAACGCCCTCACTGCCAGAGGAGATGTCACAGGGAAATGAAACTTGCAGGATCTAGTATCCATTATGAGTCTCACAACTTGTATATCTCGGATTTTTCCTAAAGGTCATATGAGGTCAGGTCATTTTCGTGACCTCACCATTATAAGTCAATGGGGGAAAATGAAAACTGCTATTCTGGCGCCGGGAACGATCTCCAACTATCTCAAGCACACAGAATCGTGCTTTGATGCACTCCTTGCAAGGTTAGATGCGTCACTTTTGCAATGTTGACCTTGTGTGACGTCATTTATGACGTCATCAAGGTCATATTAGTTTTTCGTCAATAACTCTTGATCAAATTGAGCTAGCGAGTCGGGAAAGCCACCAATGGACTCAGGAAGACCTGCCGAATCGAATGATATGCGACATGACCTCTTTCAACCAACTTCGTGACCTAGGGGTGCTGACCTGACCTTGACCTGAGGTCAACACCCCAAGTTGACCTGACCCGAACAAAAAGTACATCATTCGACGCGCATGAGCGAGGCGAACACGATGCTGCTAAAATCGGCGCTCTGCGGACGTTTTTTGCGAAGTTATTCACCAAAAACTGAACCGTACCTTGGGGCACTTGACCTGACCTCAGAGGTCACCAGTTGACCTAGGACCTTAAAATCGGGTACCAATCTCTGCGTCTCGTAACGGCGCACACGTTCGTTTTTTCCGCGACGCGCTAGCTCCACCAGGGGCGAAACGGCGAGGGGGGTCGTACCCGCCCCCCCCCCCCTCGGCCGGCGCGTATGTAGAAAACCAATAGGTCCGGCGAGGGCTAGTACTCAGTACATCCCCTATGCAATTAAATACGGGTGGAAGAAAAAAGACAATAGGATTGCTACACGTTGCTTCCGTATTTGCATAACAAGGATATTTTTGTTTTTAGGGCCTTGGCAGTTGGCTACTTTCATATTTGGAATACCACATGTTTTACTGCCTTGTACTGTCAAACCGAATTAGGTCAATAAATTTTTCCTCTTAAAAAAAGGAGCCGGAGCCGCCCCCTTTTTTGACGGCTCCGGCTCCGGCTCCGGCTCCGGGCTATATTGTTTCACGGCTCCGGCTCCGGCTCCGGCTCCGGGCAAAATATGCCGGCTCCGGCGGCTCCGGCTCCAGCTCCGGCTCCGGCTCCGCACCCCTGCCTGTCACGCATGTGAAGTTTCACTTGATTTACGAATAAGCTAATCAGAGACACTTGTTATTGTATGAGCCGCGTCATATTTGAGAGCAAATACCTATATTTGCTGCCAAAATTCCCCCACATTGACATGAAGTAAATCCTTCATTACGTCACAGATCCGATCTAAATGACGTCACGATGAAATATAAAAGTCGCAATATCCCAAAAAGTAAACAATGAAAACGCGTAAAAACTTGCAGAATTCGTCACAATATCATGAGTAACATTTCCGAATCCTAAATGGTACTTTTTTGAAGGTGGGATAGTCCCTTTAGGCATGCCTTTCGTTACGATTCACCAAAGTGTTTTCTGATTGGTCGAGGCTGACCTCTGTTGTGACGTCACAGGCCATCATCCACTCAGATGACTATCCACATGCCAGATCTATCATATACATCATATCTAGACTCATTTCGAAACCTTAGATTTCATTTTTATGACCGACTTCTCGACATTGCTAATCGGACTTATTTGACCTTGTTTGACCTTCATATGACGTCACAGGTCAAATATCAAGGTCATCGATATCCTATCTCGTGCATTTCGATGAGCTCTTTCGAATGCCGTTTGAATTTTTCGATCCGGCTATTAGTTCCGGAGATACGACGGGGGCCCTTTAGGCCCCCCGCTTCCAGCTTAGATTCATTCAGCTTCCTTGAGTGAGTGAGTGAGATTGCTTCCTGTAGCGAGGCGCGGCGCTGGGACATGAGGTTCCGTGTGACAAGGTAGTAGTCACAAGGTAGTTCCCTGTTGGAGCTATCCAACA